TCAGAACTAAAGTAGAATCTCATCACATTTGAGTTAATTTGCGAAGTTGATGCAATTCTGCCAAATTTTACGTTTAGATCATTGAATGGGCATAAAAAGAAAAAAAATAACCTTATCCATGGGCACTGATTCAATGTACAAGGAATAGACACCCAGAGATTCGTTACAGAATATAGTGTACCAGCTATCATCATATTTAAAACAAAGAAGGTGTAATACTAAAAATGTGAAAATAATTACTACGTCAACAATTATTGTTGCATGAATTACCTGGGATCGAAAATACGCCTTCCATTGCAATACGAATATAAGTAGTAGCGTACAATTGCTTAACACGCCAATTAGAGTGAAGAAGAGAATCACAACAGCTAGTAGAGGTCTAAACACGGATCTTTTAATATAGTATTTCAATCATCGTTTCACGTTCTTTTTTTGAACTTAAGTGTCCATGTGTTCTAATCAACAATGCATTATTTCCTACTCAGTCATTTTCTAGGTGAAGGTTTCGGCAGTTACAGAAGAATATGGAGTTTGTTACCTTTGAATTACATAGATTATTTAGCGGCTTACATATTTTCACACCTTTTAAATCACGTAGCATCTTTGTACTTCACGACTTTGAGAACTTAAATCACGTAGCATCTTTGTACTTTACGACTTTGAGAACTTCGATCAGTTAAGCAGTACCCTATAATATTTACGCCTGATAGAGCATAAAAGGCAATAAAAGAGATCAAATGTTCTACCTTTTCGACACTATAAACCCAAATTTGTTCCTCAAGAAAACATCCTTGTGTACTAAGCTTTTGTAATCTTATACTCCTATAAAGGATGCTTGGCTGTTATAATATGGTCTTCTGCATATTTCTGATGGGATTCCTCGAGAATAGCTATAAGAATCATATGGCTTCTTTGTTTTTGTACTGCGATAAAGGCGCCGATTTCGACGAGAACTCTAGAGAAATGCGAAATACTGCAAATGAGCTCTTGAAGTACTGAAGCAGATGCAGAGTGGGATTTTACGGCTTAAATGGCTTTGTTTGAGCTGGCAAAGGTGTATTTGAACTTATGATCACATCAGAAGGCGATGTGTAGGTCTTTGTTGCATGCCTCCAAAG